ACTGCAGAGCGACAGGCCCAGCGACTGGGGACTATATATATACCCGGGCACACGTGTGTGCCTGTCTGTGTGTGTGTGAGCGCATGTGACATGGCGGGGATGGCTCCGAGCTGCTACCTCCCCCATGTGCATGACCGCCCCCTGGGGCCCGGATTTGGGAGCCCCTTCCCACTTCCCATGTCCCCGAAGCCTGGTGGAACCTGCAGGAGTGGGCAGGGGACTTCTTACTGCCAAGCTGACAGTGCCCCCTCCCCCATCCCCATTGCTTCAACCTTCCTGCTATTTTAACCCTTCACTCCCCTCCTTGTCAAGGTGCTTGACCACCAGGGTTCTGCCCTTGACTTCTTGCCTCAGACTTCAGGGACTTCAGTTTCTCCGACAGGGAGGTGATGGAAATGGAACTTAAGGTCTCTGCCTGCCACTCTTGCTGGTTTCCATGGGGTTGGGGTGCAGGAGGGGCTGGCCCAGGCTGGGGGGCTATTTTTAGCGGCAGTGGCATTCGGGTGCAGAGAGGAGATGAGTAACCAGCTTCCATGTGGTGGAAGGAGGAGGCAGTAGCTTTCATGCAGCTTTTGTGTGACTGGGGGGAGCTATCCTCCCCTAGCTCAAAAGGATGACCCCCATCCCCTTAACTGTAGCCCAGGCTGCTGGGACAGCAGGAGAAAGGAATTTCTTAGCCATGGAAACGGCCCCTCACTCCCGTGTTCTAGATGTTTGTCCTTGGGCGCCCATGGAGCCCGCTCCCTGCAGCATGCTCTCTCACAATCCAGAATTTTGGGGTCATACTGTTCTGTGCCCACACAGCTCTGCTTAGCCTTATGGAGGATAGACTAGGGTGCTTATGCATTTATTTGCACCCTTTCGGAGGATGGAGGAATGGTGTGCTCCCTTGGCAAAACTAATCCCCTAGCAACTGAGATGATAAAAGTGGCCTGTTTTCCAGCACAGAGCTCCCCATCACCACTACCACAATGCCTAGCTCACTCAGCCCCCACCTGAAGTGGTGCTCAAGATGCTCACCTTTTAGGCTCATTCTGTCCTGGGGAGTTACATTCACATGTCTCCCCCCCAACCCCCAAGCCTATACCAGGTGTCCCCTGATTCACCATGGTAATGTTAGTGGCAGCACAGCCCACGCCAACTCTTCCATGCAGGGACTTAGCAACCATGCCTGGCAACCATGGCAGCAGCTCCAGCAGAGGGGAGGGGTGTGGGGTGAGGGGAGAAAGTGTGTATGGCAATGGTTCCTGAGAAAGAAGGGATCATTTGCTTCTCCTGAGAATAGGTTATGAGGCTCCAAATTTTGTTCCTTGTCTTTCCTTCTGCTCCATTCTCAGACTCTGAGACTAGTTGGGTTTTAGCAGGGAATGGGGAAGCAACAGATCCTAATTTGTTTTCCACTAACATACCTGCAGCCCTTTGGGATAGACCCTTCCCCAGAAGGGTTGTTTTGGGGCAGACCAACTTGAGAACCAGAGCAACAGAACACAGGCCTCCTGCTCCCTAACATGGACTTTTTAAAAGAACCCATGTATCCCCTATCCCATCCACTGACATCCCCCCCCCATCCCCGCTACACCTACCAGTTGCGCTGGTGTCTCTTTGCTTGAAGGTGCTTCCCACCAGAGTACTAAGGCTTTTTAAAGTCCTTGCCTCCTCCCTAGACAAATCCTACTTCATGATGGGATGTGACAAGGAGACATCTGTCCTTTCCTCCATGCACTCACCCCCACACATATAAACATGCTCTAATTATAATAACTTGGAATGTCTCCCTCCCTCAAGTCTAGGAATGTGCTGAGAACTGTGAAGAGGTGAATGCAGAAGCAGGGGCTTCTTCAAAGCCAGGATGTGGCACTGGAAGCTGCCTTGATGCTTTCCCCGTGTTCCATCAGGAAGCCTGGTTTGGAGGGACCGATATGGTATGGCTGGGATCATTAGGGCTCTTGGGCAAGTGGGGGTAGGGGCAAGGTGCTACTCTGAAATCACTCCTGGTTTTGGTATCCAAGATGGAAATGGTATAATACCTGCAAAGCGGTGGTGAGATGGTATCCAGAATTTGGCTCATACACAACAGTCTAGGTTCCTTATACTGTTTCGTTTTTTTAAATATATTTTTATTGATTTCAGAGAGGAAGGGAGAGGGAGAATCATTGATGGGCTGCTTCCTGCAGGCCCCACACTGGGGATCAAGCCTGTAACCCAGGCACGTGTCCCAACTGGGAATTGAGTTGTGACCTTCTGGTTCATAGGTCGATGCTCAACCACTGAGCCACGCCAGCTAGGCTCGACTACTGTTTTGGCCCATATGGTTTCAGCACAGGGAAAGGGTTTGATGGGGTGACCATAGTTCTGCTGCTCCCCCACTGCATACCCTACAGCTCATTCTCACTTTGGAAATTCCAGGTTCAAAGACAGTGCCAGTTCAGCAAAATCCAAATACAGAGTCCAACCTTTTGACGGTGGCATGTCTCCGTCTACTCTCTGGAGACCTAACACTGTTATGTGATTTTCCTGGAATATCAGCTATGGTCCAGGCAGAAGGGAACATGGGGGTGATAAGGATTGTAGGGAATAAAGTGAGAACAGTTTTTAATGGAGATTTAGAAAGGCAGTAAGTCTAATATAGTGATAAAGAGCACGCCCTCTGGTGCCAGCTCGGTTTACATGCTAGCTCTGTTCTTTTTACTAGCTGTGTTGCCTTGGGATAGTGAGCCTCTCCGTGCCTTCGTTTCTTTTAAATCTATAAAACTGGAATATCTACTATTGTTCTGAGGAGTAAATGAATTAGTATATGTAAAGTACTGAGAATGATGGACAGTTTTCTATAAAGTGTGTTATTGTAATTAATGAGTTGAAGAAGCCATATGAAGTAGAAAGGTTGGAGCAGTAGTGACTGTCTGTCAACTACAAAAAGCAAACACTGCAATATCATGAAGAGGTTCCTGTCATTTTAATTAAGTTTGCCATGAAAAGCAATAACCTTAGCTAACCACTTTGCAGTCCTCCTCCACCCAATCCCACTTCTCTTCGTATGAATATAGCACAGGAACCCAAGGCCTTCCTCCCCATGATCCTCCCCACTCCCATTATGGGAAGAAATGTTATGAAATGGACTCAGCCTCCCCCATACAGCATGAAACAGGATGAATAAAAATATTTTTATGAAGAGCTGTGCTGTGGTGGAGGGAGTCAGGGGCAGAGATAGAGGCAAAGCCTGGATCTCGTAGAGATCAGAATTTGTCCAAGCGGCACAGAGCCCACGGTTCACCCAGGATGGGGGCATGTCTAAGAGGACAGGGCCTGGGATAGGCTAGGCTGGAAGTTCTCCTCGTGTGTGAGGACAGGACAGCAACAAAGCCATTCTCCTTCCTTTCCCCAGATCTTCCCTGCCTCTCAGGTAGAAGGGTAGAGGTCTCCTGGGCAGGGAACAGAGTCACAATTCTCTCAAGATTTCATCTGTGGTTCCAAACTTTGTACAGGCAGTGAGTGGGCATAACCCTTGGTGCCACCTGACCCCTTCCCCTAGCTCAGGGCTTTTCTCCGCCTGTGAGCACCAGGGCCTGCAGGATGTCTGACAGTGAGACAATTCCCTTGACCACATCATTCTCATCCACCACTACAAGTCGGTGAACCTGCAGAGAACAACAGGGGAGAAAGGGATATTAGTGCCAGCTTCAGGGAGAGCCCTGCAAGCTCTATCCTCTTTGCCAAATCCTAGCTTCTTTGGGGTCACTGGTCCCCTACCTCTGCTTCCACCAGCCTGTTGATGATGGTCTCCAGAGTTTCATGCAGGTAGCACTTAAGGACACCCTCAAAGTAATGTGATCGATGTTGGAGGGCTTTGGTCACAGACACATCTAGGTTGTTGTAGGTCTTTTCTGCTGCCAGATTCTGAGGAGAGAGGGGAAGGTGCTTGCAGAGAAGCAAGGGAGCCAGCCCCCAAACCCTGAGTCCACCCAACCCCAAAGGGATTTAGGGCAGTTGTCAGCCATGCCCACAAGCCACACCCAGCTCATTCAATTATTTTTCATATAAAATCTGAAAGCTTGGAAGCTTCTTAAAACCCTTAGATCCCAGAAGAGACTCTTCTTTCCCCCTTTCCACATCCAACGTGCCACCCCTTTCCCTACCTCCCAGCCCCTCCCCAATCACTCACGATAACATCAAACTTGGAGTAGATGTCCACCACACGCCCTAGAGGGACAGAGGTAGCTCAGCAAGGAGGATCTGACATCCAAGACTCCCCCTGGCCGTAGGTAGAATCACCATCCTGGCTGAGCTAAGTGGGAAGCAGATTTTCCCAGAGCCACCCTGACTTCCTTGGAGCCTTCCCTCTCCTTCTGTCCACTCTCTCACCTTTTTCATCCACC